TGAATGTTACTAAAGCTAAATCATTCCTTCTCAATTGATGGTATGAACAAGGAGTTCCATGGCTAGTGCTTAGCTATAGGAAAATGGGAAACTTAAGACCAAAACAGAGGTTACAGTGGGAAAGAATACAACCAAAAATCAGTTTTAAATAGAGAACGCAGGATGAGAAAAAAACAGGTACCCACCAACAGTCATTGTTGCAATTGTATGACCATGCATGGGGAGAAGGGAGACAAAGGAAGGAGGAAGCAAATGAATGTCAAAACCAGGCCTGCCTCAGAGAAAATAAGGAATGCAACTTTCACTGTAGTGTGACTAGTGCAAAACCAAAGCATCTATTCACAGTGGCTATAGGATGCTCAAAATAAACAAAACTGTCAGCACCTCTGCAAGCACTGATGCTACATTAAGTTTCCCATCATTTAAATGTTAGCAATTACAAAAATAATGCTCATGGCCAAAGAAATTAAATCACCCACAACAAGCATCACTACCGTGAATCATTGAACCTCACAGTGTCCTTTTCTCTCAAAGCTCAAGTACGCGCCTCTGTAGTATTCACATTAGAAGTCAAATCCAAAATGGAATGCTTAAAATGAGCCAGCAGCTATAAACTCACATGCCGCAATTTTCAAAACATGAAAAGAAATATTGCAAACCACCTTCCAGTGTTTGAGTACAGCAGGAGCACTGACAGGATGAAGTTACATTACTTTCTGTCCATAGTAAGAGTAATTTGTTATTAGACTGTTTCAGCAACAAATAGTATTAACATGTTAGACTATTAACAGGGAAACAATTTAAAGTCTAACACATTTTTTAGCTATGATGTGGTCTATTCATTTTTTCTTCTTTTCAATCAACTGCATAGTTAAGCCTGACTGGGCAGCAGTTCCAGTTTCTGGTTCTCATGCACTAGCACAGGTCTCATTATGATTCTTTTAAGTTATACCAACAACAAGTGTTCGGCTATGGCACGTTCGTTGGTCAGGCAAGGCTAGTTGTTCCTCCACCTTTACAGCTCCAGCTGTCCAGGTACCAAAGAAAAGTTACTCCTACCAAACACACCTAGCAAACACTTTCAATGAAGACTGCTTCAAAACACAAGGAGAGGCAAGAAAATGAGAACTAACTTCCCCAGAATCAATGTTAAAAGCTACGCGCAAGTTCAAAACTAGGAACTTATTTAATGAGAACTGGGAGAAGGAAAATAAGGTACAATGTGCTAGCACCCACAGAAAAGAACACCAGGCCAGAGAGGTGAGTGATAGAAGCACACTCTAGGAAGACAGCAGAAGGAGGAAGCAACGATGGCATTAATTTGAGAATATAAACCATGGCATTTGTAAAGTTCAAACGTATTCAGTCAGCAGATTCTCTAGCTCAGCTGCTCTCAGCTTTTCTAAGTCCTCTGGCTGGGATACCCCAACTAGCCCCACCCCTCTACCCACAGCCTTTCATTCCCCCATTTCAACCTGCCACACTGCAGCTAGCTTCCCCCTACCCCATATACAGTCCCACAACCTCCCCCTGCCCAGTCCAGCACCAGGCATGTTGCAGATACACTGAAGTATAGCCATGTTTGCTCGGTGTTGTACCTGGGCTAGTGAGCTCCCTGGAAAGTGCCTGTGCCACTTTGCATCCGCAGAATAGCACACGCAGATCAGCCCAGCTTGTCAGCATAATCCTGCCTGGTGTTACAGAAATGTTTGGGGCGAGGGCTGGCTGCCCACTCCCAATATCATCTAGCCCAGTTTGCCCTTACAGCCCACCCAAAACACTTCCATGATGTACCACCTGAGAACCACTGTTGTCACAGCGTTGCACGGGATTGGGAGCAGGGATAGGGTGTTTAGGAGTGGGATATTGGTTATGCAGTAGTCTGAACTGTAACAGACTGATAACCCCTGCACTGGCACAAAACTGTTCTGTTCTTTGGGCTTACCCGATTTCAAAGCAACTTGTGCTTTTTCCTCTGTTTCTGGATTATATTCATATGCATTTCAGAAAACAGATCTCTGCCCTCTAACTCAAACCTTAAATCTAAACTGGAACCCTGTTCACACAGGGTCTTTTAACACCTACCAAGGAAGCTTAGTAGTAGGAAACAACCTAAGGGGAAGAAATTGTTATAGGAGTCACAGTGTATCCTAGCTTTGGGTGGACTATAATACTGATTGTTCTGTGCACCAATGTTCTGAACAATAATTAAATGATAAGAACTGCTACCCAGAGTGCAACCTGTCACCATTCTGACCGTGGGAAACCTTGCATGTGCCACAAGGCCATAATATGAGTAGCACACTTACCCAGTACATTTTACTTAAATAAAATGTTTACCCTAACAAAAAAATACTTTCATGTCATGAGGATTTTATAAATAGTTCAACTCTACAATTATGTGTTTTCTAAGGCTACAAACTTAACATTCAACCTCACCATGCCATCTACAAAAGATTATGTTGCTGTGGTGGCCATTGTTGCCAGACAACAGCTAACAGCAATTAAACATTCAACAGAAAGATAGAACCAGCTCCACAAAAAAAGATATAGATTTAGATTAGACTTAAAACTGCAATGTTAAAAGCAAGTAATAGGTACTCATTCCATTTAATTATTTTCAGTAAATTTCTCCAAGAAGGAGATCTTAGAACAATGAATGCTTAGATAAATTCAAGTAAGCTGAAAGGCAGACAGATATTTATATATGAATATTAATATCAAGCTCTAGAAACTGTTAAAGAATACATTTTGTATAAAATTCTGTACTGTATATCAAGCCATGTTACAACAAAGCATGCTAGCTAACAGAAATGCAACTTTAAAAGGTATTGATTTTTTTAAAATACTAATGGAGTTAGGTATCCCTTTCTTTATTACCTTACACAGCGAGCTTTCCAGTAAACTAACCTTTTATCTGAAGTACATTAACATTTCCTTTTCTCTAATGGACAGTGAACTTAAGTCTGAGTTTCAGGTTTCAAGTTTCCTCTTGCCTCTTTCAGTATAAGTGATTTACTCTGTAACAGCGTGTAGATGGCATGGTTTTATGACAATGGTTCTCAAACTTTTTGTATTCCCCTCATAAAATGCCAGCTCTTAGCTTTCATTCCTTTCTTGAAATGGAAAAATAATAAGGTAGTTGCAAAGAACACAAAGATCACAACAGGTCTTAAAGTTTTTGATGTTCTGGATTCCTATTTGAAATCTCTAGGCTTATCTTGAGAATCAGGTATAGGTGTTGGCACATCTAACTATGATAACAGAGTGCAGCAGTACCTTTGAAAGTATGTCACAGCACTCAAGGGTGCCATAACACTCTGGTTGAGAATCACTGTTTTATGATATTAAGGGAAGGACTTTGAGTGTTACCAGCCTCAAGTATTCAAATAATATGCCAGGTTCCAACCCACATAACATTGGCTTAAAAAAAAAAAAAACCCTCTAATTTTAAATCCGTGATATATGTTGGATGTTTTATTCATGAACTAGTTTCTGACCACCTGGGTCATATTTAAAGACTTTCATCTGCTAGCCTGGGGGCTGGAAATTTCCTTTTTTAAATGAAAGCTGAGATTCTTTGGCATCGTTGAATTTTATTTTAGAAGCCTAGAGGAAAACCCAAAGAAATATCCAGTGTGCTATACAAGTTTCTCTTCCATTTTAGGTTATAAATTAACTTAGACTTTCCTACTGTTTCTATTACATTTGTCCACATCCAACTGAAAACTGCATTAAAATAACCCAACTTTTCCAGCCAGGCAAATTTCTTGCAGATATAGCAATCTTGACATTTGCTGCAAAATGTTAAATATAGTACAAGTAAGTGAGAATGTAAGCTGTACATGCATATAGTATTTAAAAAAAGGTATAGAGCATCTGTCTCAAAATGTATTTTTAAAATTGCAGGGGTGGGGAGTACAAAAATAAAAAGAATATAACATTCCTTTAAAACCACAGCTCATACAGTGTAAGAGTCAATGACAAAAACACAATTCCAGTAAGTACCAAAATTATTATAGGAAATTGGTCCAGCTAGTCTAGTTTGCAAATTAAAGACTTCCTTTCATCCACCAGCTCACATGAAGAGCAACTATGATGGGAGTGGAGCTACCCCTTCTAAAAGAGTTTTAAAGGGCTCCAAGAGGCAAATTTTCAACCAGTCTTTTATGTACAGGTACCTATACATATGGACAGCAGATCCTGTTGCTTTATTTCCCATTCTCCCATTGCAGTGCAGAAGTGTGAGGTATGCAACACCTAAATTAATATGTTCATAAGTTTTTCAGTGTATTAATAAGTGTATTTTCAGTGTATTAATAGTTGGGTGTCTTGGGGACAGTTCACACAACCTTCTATTCTGCAACACACTGCCCCAACTCTCTCCCCACACTTCACTTTTGCAGTGTAATATAATTATATCTACCTTCTAAGAATTATAACTCTTGCACTCACAATGCAGCTGTCAAGCCAGACAGTCTCACAGTCTAAAACACTATTCCACAAACCCACAGACTTCAAATGCATCCTTACAACTTCCTTCTCTTCTAAGTTTAAGAAGATCACCTCCAAAATGTTCATAATCAAACCTTACATGGTGGATTACAGATTATATGCAGAAAGTGCTAAATCTAAAAACTTATTTAAATAACAAGTATTATCCAACAAATACAAGTTCAGTAACCTGACAAGTTTTCGCCAAATATTCATTTTACTATCAATAAATACTATACCATACAAAACCTTAACAGAAAAGGCAGAAGTCCTAAACTAAAAATGAGTCCTATTTACCTTCTAAGCCCTGTCTACAAACAAAACCGTTAAAGCTTTGGCATGTAAGTTTTAAGCATAACTGAACAAATTAAGCAAAATCTTATGTACCTCTCTATCTCTAGTAAGGTATATGAAAACTGGAACAATGAACACTGAATTGTCAAAAATCCTACTTGTTATATTAAAAACAATACAGCCTTGACTCCTTTAAAAAAAGATACACTTACCTTTCTGTCTCTTCATTTGGGGAAAGCTGCTGATTGTGGTTGCTTGAACTATTTCCACTACAATCTGATACCTAGTTGTAAGAACAGAGAGAAAAAAAATAGGTCTTATTTTATTTTTTGCCTCTCACACAGTAATACTTTAGAAGCAAAAATGTTAAACTACCTGCTGGGAAATGCAGCCATTTTTCATTGCATGTATATTCCCATTCTGAAAAGAAGCACAGGTCTGGGAAAAGGGTGGCAGAAAAGTTCCACGTGCGAGACAAACAAAAAATGAAAGTCATTCAAGTTGTTATTTATTACCTGAAGGACTAATTATCACTTTCCCTATTTCTCATGACACTGTGTAAAAGGTTCTTAAAAGCTTGATAAAAATTAAAGAAAGCTTAAATGTAAAAAAAGGTCTTAAAAAGTCAAAATTATAACAAAGTAATCTACTGTAATAAAAAGGAGTGAAAGTAAACTGTATTAAACATGGGTTAAGAATGAAGAAATTAAAAAAAAACCCTATATGGAGAATGATTAAAGATGTCCTTGCAAACCTGGGGCGAGAAACAGATTTCAGGAGCAAAAGCCACAGACAGCGCAACAGTACAGAAAATTTTGTCTCCTGGAAGAGCTGGAAGGGACTGTAACAGGGGACCAATAACCCCATTACAGAGAAGAGGCGGCTCAGGAAGGAAATGCAACAGGGCTCCTTAAGACCTAAAATTTTTGTAGCTCAGAGAAGGGGAGGATTATCTGCTGTAAGGAAAGACCCTACTAGCAAGGCCAGGGTGTAGGAGATCTGTGTTGTCAAGGGAAGCCCAGCTGGACAGGAGGAAACAACTTGTAGTAGAGAGAGAACAGAGATGCCCAAAGGGAGATGCCAGGCCCTGAGCTGGGGACTCGCACTCACAAAGTTCAGCCCACAACCAGCCGACTGCAGGACCCAGCAGAGGGAGGGGAGTAAGAGACTGACTACACATGTGCCCAGGGAGCAAGATGACCAGTGAGCTGACCAAGCAGGCATGACTGATGGATATAAACTCTCCCCAAGGCCAGAGGGAGGGGGATGGCCACAGTTAGGCTCACCACTTTTTTAAAATGTAAAGGTGGGACACATGCATAACTTCACACCCCCAGCAGCACAGCTGGAGCAGAGCCCAGCAGGGTGGGGGTAGATATGGGCTGCCTGCTGCAAGCTCAGGGCTTCCCACTCTGTTGCCTTTCCCCTGGGGGCCCCACACCAGCTGCACACCCGCCATCCCCCCAGGGGATGTGCACAGCAGTGGGGAGCTGCTGCCCTACATCCCCTGGAACAGCCACCTAGGGCTCCAATCTGCTTCATGCCCCAGTACCATGCACCACCCTGGCTGGGCAGTGCTCCCATCCCCTACCCCATTCCTGCCCTCACAGTAGGGGCCACAATCTGACCCTCTTCCCTCCCCCTATACCTGCAGGGAGCAGCTCTCCACACTGCCCAGCTGTATTTCTGACCATGTGCACGTGCGTGGGTGCACACATATACATGGCACCCCCTGCATCCCACTCTGGCAGCCCTTTGCAGGCTGGAATGCTGCCAGCCTGTAAGGGGAAACCTGGTATTTCCTGTGGATCCCTGCACAACACTGCAAATCTGGGATAAATGTTGTCCCAGAGTCAGGCAGCCCAGGACCAGGACTTGAGGTTCCCATTCTGGGACCGTCCCACCCAGTTAGAGACGAGTGGTCACCCTAGCCACAGTGACAGTGAAAGACGGAGGCCTGCAGGGGGGCAATGGCAGAAACTCCCCTGGCCAGGAGACCTGCTGCCTGAGAGAAAGGACTTCCATTGACCAAAAATAAAAGAATGAGTACTTGGGAAGTGTTAAGGATTTCCTTTTATTCTTCTCTGGTTTTTTGGTGCCTTGGGGGGCCCCCCAGGAAGGAGCTACAAAGAATTGAGGATTGTTTTATGTTCACCCTGAAGGAGCCCCGGTGTGGGGCGGAGGCAGAGCGGAGTATACCCAAGCAGACTGAGAACTGTTTGTGCTGGCCCAGGAAGGGCTGGGGGAGTGGATCTGGGGCAGGGGTACCCCAAGGATCATGGACTGTTTGAGAGAGCCTGGTATGGGCCTGCTCTTTGTTATTTTTCTTTTTTTCTGTCCACAACAGTCACAACACCTCATGGACTGCAATGGCTACAAGGGGAGGCAAGGAGCTACAGAGCAGTGTTCAGCACTCTGATTTTTCCTGTGGGATTTTCTTTTATTCTTTTTGGACTGACTGACATTTTCAGAGCAAGAGAACTGGGAGAGAGCCAGCACCCACACTGGTCAAAGCCTGGATTAAAAAAAATAAGACAGGCTGGACCCCAGCAGGGCTGGGCCTCCATCCACTAACAGAAAGGGGGGCAGGAGAAAGACAGAGGGGGCCAAGTCCTACACTGCCCAGTCGGACTTGGGGCCAGGAGCAGCATAAGGAGACAAGGCGCTTACACCCTAGGTTTAGGCTACCTAAAGGCAGTCTCTCAAGAAAATGTCTCCAATATCAACAAGATGCAGCTGGTAAGAGAGAGAAAAGGGCCAGACTAGGGAACTGGAGTAGGTAGCCAGGTACTGCCCCACCACAAGGGGGCATCCAGGTGTCCCCAGAGGAGCACCTTATTTAAGGGACCTCAGGTCACCTGGTTTAGACCCCAACACAAATGCTAGTCCTAAAGTATTCCTACCAAATGCTCATCGAGCCTCCTCTTGAAAACTTTCAGTAAAGATGACAGCTTCCCAAGGCAGTATATTCTTAACAGTAAGGAAGTCTTTCCTGAGATCTAATCTAAATCTGCTCTCCTACAATTTAAAACCACTGATCCTTTTGTCCTGTGCAGCAAAAGAAAACAGTTGCACACAATAATACAGATAAGACTTAGTTGGCACCGAGCAGAATGGTACTATCACATCCTTCCACCTAACAGTCTTGCTAATTCAGCCTAAAATAATATTTGTATGTTTTTGCAATTGTGTTACACTGCTGGCTCATATCGAGTCTGTTGTCAAACAAGACCCCCAAATTCTTACCAGTAACACTACCACCCAGTCCATTGTTTCCTAGTCTGTGTTTGTGCATTTGAGTAGTCTTCCCTAGACGTAGCACCTTATATTCGTTTGTGCTGAACTTCATTCTGTTTTCTCTATTCTCCAGATCTCTGAAGATCCTTTGGAATTACACTTCGACCCTCCAATGCTCGCCATCCTTCCTAGTTTCATGTCAACCTGACCAGGAAGCTCTATTCCAGCATCCAAATCATTAACAAACACGTTAAACAGCACTAGATCCTAAAACAGACCCCTATGAGCCCCTGCTTGAAACCTCCTACCATTCTGACACTGAGCCATCTATAATGACCCTAGTAAAGTGAGCTCTTGCTCACAAAAGCTTACACATGCCTGATTCAGTTAGGCCAGAGCTGTCCAACTTCTGGGCAGCTGGGAACCACATACAGCAGGTGCTGCATGCCACAAGGGCTGCCCCCACTAAACACTCAACTCAGCCCCTCCTTCCCAGATGCACACACCATACAGGCAGCCCAGCCGCCCCACCCATCTCCCCTCCTCCACTGCATGCACAGCACCCCTACTCCCTTTCCAGCCATGTAGGTCATACAGGTAGCCCACATGCAGCATGCAGAACTGGCAGCTGTCTCCCTCCTTTGCAGAGTACACAGTGTGCACAGCCTGGCACCCTCCCCCCACCACATACACAGCACCAGCAGCCTGACCCCTTTCTGCTGCACAGCCCTGCCCCCTTCCTCTCCCCTGCAGGAGTAGGAGCAGGAACCAAAAGCCAGAAGAGGGAGGGGAAGCCCAGAGACCCCAACTGCCACTGCTGTAAGAGAAATGGGCAGAGTTGAGGCTGGTGAGAGCCTGTGAACTACCAGATGGGCAGTCTTGAGTTAAACTATGGTGCATCTCTACTCTGCCTTCCACCTTTTCTTGCAGTTATGGAGTCAATTATGTAGCCAACCTTATAGTAATGGTCTAGCCCACATTTCTCCAGCTTAGTTATGAGAGTGTCAAGTGGGACTAGAGCAAAAGCCTTATTGAAGTCCAAGTATACTATGCCCACTGCATCTCTTTCATCTATCCAATTAGTTACTTTCTCAAAGAAAGATCAAGTTGGTTTGGCATGACTTGCTTTTAACAAATCCATGCTGGCTACTAATGATCAGCCTTTCCTCTAGATGTTTACACATTGACTTTTGTACAATATGTGACTTAACATACAAAAGATAACAGTGAGTAGAGATACTCAAATCAGTGCATCATCTGCAAGTGTCTGTAAAATACTGCTGAGAAGACTGTTAAAAAGAGAATTACAATTGAGCACTGTAATTATGTGTGATTACTGCATACTAATCTGCAATGAGGTTTTGACCCAGCCGGCCAGTTATAAACTCCAAGCACTCCCCTGAAAAGAACAAATGTAAATAGCCTATGGACAAGAAACATTAGGCTTAGAGCCCTGCCACATGTCAGTTAAAGGCAGATGGGATCTGAACTGCAGTCTCAACAGTCATGCACAGCAGGTGGCATGATTGTGGGATAAGGGGTTAGATTCCAATACCGTCATACTGTCAGTGCAGAGGGAGCCAGGATCATAATCCTGGGCTCCCCTGCACCAATAAGCAGGGTGCCCGGTGCTCCTATAGCTAGGAACCCTGATGAGCTGATAGGGGCTCCCAACTGTGCTCCTGTGGCTGGCAGTGCTGGCCATTTGACCACAGCTCCCATGCATTCCCGTGGCTGGGAGCCCTAGTCAGATGATTGGGCTGCCAGCCATGGGAGTACAATCTGAGCCCTTGGGGCTGGCCACACATTCAGTTGCTGGCATGCCACATTACACATTTTTTGAGTAATAACTTTGTGGCTTATTTCCTGTATTATTGTACCATTAACTGAATAAACGTGTTGCCAGGTTAGTACCCAAGATACGATTAAGTGGTCAACCACATCTTAAGTGTAATATCTGCCAGGGGCCTTAAATTAGTTTGAAGTCCTGTGAATTTTTCTTATTTAGACCAGATTTGAATTTATTACCCAGAATCATGAACTATC